CAAATGTACGTAATTAACTGACAAGAGCCATTACTTCTCAGCATCTCCTTTTACTCCAGAATTTTACTCACAATGTAGAATCTCACTCAATGTGAGAGTTTGTTGGAATTTACTCCCCCAAATGAAACTGGATTTATTGTATTTTCTTTATATGTAAAGGAATTCATGATTTAAAAAACAGCATTCACTCTGTCCACATAAAATTATGAATATGCAAAAAGAGATGTGTGTGTGTGTGTGTGTGTGTATATATATATATATATAATTAGAACATGCAATAAGGTCAGATGCTCAATTAATAACCCCGTGTGTAGTTTTTCTAACATTCTCGTGTTCATGTAACAATACAAGAACATGTATACATGTATTTAAAGGTTGTCAATATTTGTTTTACAAAAATGTTTTTTCCCCATACATTCCCTGAAGTTTGCTTCTATCACTTAAAAACATTTTGTGAAAATCTCTCCAAATCAATTGGTAAAGCTCTATTTAAATATTGCCCAACATTACATGGTTGAGAATATGCCATGATTTTACCATTCCCCTTTCAATGAGTTCTCAGTTTGTTTCTTGATGTTTGCCACCACAAGCAATGCTACAGTGAATATCCTTGTACTGGTGGCTTTATTTCTATAGAACAGACTTCCAGGAGTTGAACTGGTAGGAAAGTCCTCCTTTGCTACTCTGTCTTCATTATTTTATGTGTATTCTTGGACATATATAGTCTTCCACATGAATCTTAAAAAATTCTGTATCCAATTAAATAAAAACTTTACTTAAATTCCACTTAAATTAAAATTCCATTAATTATACATGTTACTATTGAGGAAAATGACATTTTTATGGTGTGAAGTTTTCCCTTCCATACTATATCTTTTGATTACTTTTCTGATCTTGCCTTAGATCATTTGATAAAACATTATAGCTAACCTTCATATGGCTCCTGTGCCTTTCTGATCTATATTTATATCCTGTAAAATGTTCATGGTAGTTCTAATATTATGATATTTCTTGAAATTTCTAGGTATAAAATTACATTACTAAAGTATGATATTTCACCTCTTCTTTTTCAATATTTATACAAAATATTTCAATTTTTTGCCTTCTTGCATTTAGTGGAATTAACTAATGTTGAATTTTGGGGATAATAAGCATGTCTTTTCTGTTCTTGATTTTAATGAAAATGGTATTCTCATTTCATTATTTATAATGATGTTTGCTATTGATATTTGTTCATCTTTATCATATTTTCATATTTTTCTATTTATAACTTTACTTAGTTTTTTGACTAATAATGTGCTTTAATATATTGATATAATGAATTACATTAATATATTTATTAATATTGAACCATTCTTATATTCTTGTTATTCTTGTATTTTTAGGATAAGCCCTCCTTGGTCAAACATTATTATTATTATGATACATTGTTCTCTTTGCTCATTCTTTCTTAAACATTTTTGCAATATTATGTATTAGTATGCTTGGTTGATAGTTTTCTTCTGTTTTAAACTTTTTAAGGCTTTCCCATTCGAGTTATTCTCAATTTATTCACAGGGAATTTTTTTCTTATTTTCAAAGTTATGTGTATCTCTTATGGAATCCTGTAGCTAGAATTTTCTTCCTAATTTGTTTTTTAATTAATTGACTAAAAGCTGAAGAAAACAGTGATTTTAAAATGCAAGCCACTGTTTCCTGAAAAGACTGAAATTCAAATTCACTTTTGGTAGACTGTCCTTTTATTCTGGGAAAACCATATGAAGAAAACTTGTGGTTTCATAAAGTTTATTCAGAAAAAACATAGTAAAATCATCCTTCTCCCAAAAGAAATATTTTTGCCTCAGAAGCTGAGTGTTCTGCAGGGTGATGCTAACACGTGTCTGCTTGTGCCAGAGCTCAGATTTCTGTAGACTAGGTTATGTTTTCTTCTGTCTGGAGCATTTCATGTTTGTTTCATGGTGAAGAGGGAGGGAAAGAGAAAAATAGGAGAAATGTTTTCCTTTTCTGAATGATTTAGAATGCACCCGGTAACAAACTGATGAGGATTTTTAAAGCATAATTTGCAAGATGTAGAGAGCTGGAAAGAAGTGCTACAGGACCAAATCCTATGTATGACACAGTTAGAAAGAAATGGATTGGCCTGGGCAGCTCAGTCTAAACTATTTTGTAAGATTAGGCCACCCAGAATCTGCTGAGGAGAAAACAGCATGAGGTGGCTGTCCCGCCCCCTCCCCACCTGTGGGTGTAAAATGGCATTCCCCAAGAAGGAGACAGTCATTCCCACTTTGAAGACTGCTGAGAGAGGGTAGATCCTAGTACAAGAAATGGAGCCTGGGAAGCCAGGCCCTGAGTTGGGCTGAGGCAGAGAGCATTTTCTTCTCTCCTGACCTTGGGCAGTTGGGTCTGGACAGGAAGTCATGATGCAGGGGTGAGCAGGCCCAGCCAGTGGAGCCTGGCCCCAAAACCCTTTGCAGAGGCCAAGGACAGGCCCGCCTGGACCTGTGAGCCCTGACAGTGGCTGCCTCTAACATTAGTTATGACCTCTCCTCTACTGTGTCCTACTTCCTTTTTGATGTTCCCAGCCCTGCAGAAAATTCTGAGGGTAATACTGAGGGTAGTGTAGCAATACTGAGGGTAGTGAAGGAGGCTGCTCCCTCTCTGGGAAAGAGGGAGAAAGCTGTGTGTTCTCTGCCACGCCACCTCCCCAAAAGCAGACCACTGTGGGAGTGCAGTTAGTCCTCTGCCTCTATCCCTCCAGGGTCTGCCTCAACTGCAGGCAGTCTCCTTGCCCCTGACATTCCCTTCCTGGGCAGCTCTCATATGGGGACTGAGCGAAGCAGCTTATAAAATCCTGGCCCAGGGGGCACAGAACATTGGAAAGGCAATGGTCTCTCCAGAGATTGTTCACCTGGTTGCCAGAAGCTTTATTGGGTCTGCACTGAAGCTCTCTTCCCAAGCCCTATTCTTTTTCTTTTCTTCCTTTCCAAGGTGTTGATCTCTAAAACACCATGAAGTCCTCTTGAAGAATGCTGTCCTTGCTTCTGCCTTTGGAAAACCCAAACTGCAAGGGCAAAGGACACAGAAGCAGTGGTATGCTGGCAGAACAGAGAAGTGGGAGAGGAAGACTATAGCCTGCACCTGAGCACCTGGAGGTGGGGGTGGGGGATCTCAGAAGTAAGTGACAGGGTCAGATGAATAAGATGGACCAGTGATCTGTGAACCCTTCTAGCGCATGGACACTCTGACTCTGATCCTTGCCACCTGCCTTCTATGGCAAAAGAGACTGCTGCGTTTGTTCATCAATTAAACTCCTTCCCACAAGTTTCTCTTGGCCAAGAATGTCTCTTCAGCCCTGAGCTTCCCATTTACTAATAGGTCTTTGTCACTCCAAGAGACAAGGCTTCCCATCTCCTGCAGTCTTATCCTCTAATCCAGTTATTTCTGTTTTTGGAGCATAAACAAGAACTCCCCTGGTTTGCCCTTTTGGGTTCCCCAAAGCTTATGCTTCCCTATTCCTTCCTCCATTTAGCGCAAGAGCAATCAGACTCAAGATTTCAGCTCATGTTTATCACACACCATCTCAACAAAATCTACTAATGCTTTACAAGCCCTCACAAGCATTTCCTGCAGGCTCCACCACTTTGAGAATCAGCAAAGCCCTTGAATTTTCCCTGCTAGTGGTGTGCTGGTAAAATCAGCTCTCTGAAAAGTACATACACACACAGAGAATAATATAGCATTTGCTGATTTCCAATTTCGGTGGTGTAAATGCTCACACCATAACAGATTTCAAGCTACCAGTGAAATTTCACAGCCTTTTACAACAAGCTTGTAAAGTTCCTGCGTATTTAACATTGGCTTTTGATATCCTATAGGAGCTGGCTTCAGCAACCACGGCGTGGCTATCCTCCAATTCTCCAGGTCACTCCCAAATAGCACCCATCTTATTCTCCTAGCATTGTCCTTGACTAACATAATTTTGTCATGACAGCATTCGCCATGGCCCACACTGTCTTAGAGACACATTGCCTATCTGATCTCATTTAATCCCTACAAAATCAACCATCTTTATCTCCATTTCACATACCATGGTTACTACTGGAGGTTTATCACCTTTCATCAGACCTGCACTAGACATAACACACTGCACTGTTGGGCAAAGCAGTGCACCCCTCTTACAAGTATTTTTTTTAAACACAATAAAGTTCTTTCAAGCATAAATTTATTTTCCCATGACAAAAGTAATGAACCACTTTGCAAAGAAAATTGGAAAGCAACCATTAATTCTTATATGTGTTAAGATTATTTCATGTCATGGTAAAATGTTTGTGAAATATTACATTTTTAAAATGGAGTATAGTATAGTAACCTACAATGTGATACCAATTCTGTAAAACAGTAAATGTATTAATGAAACACTGTAAGTAAAGGAAAAATGAGTAGTTATCTCTTTTTTTAGTATGTTTTAATTGATATATCATGGTTATATATATTTGATATTTTGATACATGTATACAATGTGTAATGATCAAGTCAAGGTAATTGGGATATCTACCACCTCAAACATTTATCTTTTTTTGTGTCATGAACATTATAATTCTTCCCTTGTAGTTGTTTTGAAATATGCAATAAATTACTGTTAATTATAATTTTTTAATTAAATATTTTTAAGTTTTAATTATTATTATTTTTTTTTAGAGACAGGATCTTGCTGGTCACCCAGGCTGGAGTGCAGTGGTGCAATCATAGTTCACCTAAGCCTCGATCTCTTGGGCTCAAGCAGTCCTCCCACCTCAGCCTCCAGAGTTGTTACCTATAATTTTGAACAGTAGTTAACTGTGAACAGTGAGAAGCAAAGGTTTTCCTCACTTCCTCTTTTACAGTTTCTGTATTTTCCATAATTGATACATCATCACATATTACAATTATGATGAGAAAACATTATGCATATTATTTTTATTTGAAAAATATAAAAATAAAAACAAAATCTATGACCTCACCGTTCAAACTCGACATCTCCTCCATTTTGATGTCATGCATTGTTTCTGACAGAGGTTTGATTGAAAAGAAACAGCATCAATAAGCATAGGCTCCACAGTCCTCCCACATCCCTCTGAGTGCCCGCGGAGGGGCTGGGGACTCCCCCCACACCTTCACCCACAAGGACCTCTCCCATAGACCTTTTCACATTCTCTCTCATCTTCCCCAAAGCCTTGCAAGATGGGAGTAATATTAATATTCCCATTTCAGAGATGACAAAGCTAAGAAACTCGTCCTCTGTGGTTTCAGTGCTATGAGGCTCTATCTCATGTCCCCGCACGAAGTATCTTTGTATGGGAGGCTTAATGGTTAAGAGCATGGACTTCTGTCCGACAGAAATCATTAAGTTCCAGGCCAGACACGCCACCGCTCTCTGGCAATGTGTCCGTGGGGTAGGGGTGGCACTGAGCTTCCATTTCTTATAAAATAATGACCACAAGATCGTTTTCCTTAAAGGGTGGCTGTGAGCCTTCAATGACACAGTGATGACAAGACCTCAGCACAGCGCTGGGTAACCGCTAGCTACTTCAGAGGCACAGCTGAGACTTGCACAGAGGTACCTGGCTGCAAAGTCCGGCTCCTCTACACTCTGCAGAGCTCTTTTACCCCCTCAAGAGTTCCTCTCCTCCGGGAGGGGTTGTCTCGCCCGGGTCCAGGATCTCTGCCTTCGGTTGAAGCGCAGCGCCCCCAGCCGTCCGCAGGAGGGATCGACGCCTCTGTCTCCCCAAAGTGAGGGCGCTCGCTGCGGAGCTGGGGGTGGTCTCCTCTTCCCCTTATCATCGCCCAGCAACCTGGGGGTCCTCGTGGCTTCTCCCTGGCCGGGGGCTGGAGGATCCTCTGTGCCTTCAAGGCCCCTTCCTCGTCCTAAGTCGAGCCCTGGCCGGGGGCTGGAGGATCCTCTGTGCCTTCAAGGCCCCTTCCTCGTCCTAAGTCGAGTCTCCTCCTTGCTGACCAGGCATCGCGAGCAGATGAATCTCCCTCGTCTGGGCGGTTGTCCCTGTCAGGCTGTCAGGACCTGATTTTCCCTGGTAAGCCTTCGTCAGGCAGGTGGCCTCGCCCAGGCCTCGGAAAATGTCAGGGCGCAAGCTGGGCATACGGCCCTCCCGCTGGCGAGCAGGCAGCGCCCGCGTTCTTCAGGATTTGGAACAGCCCTGCCAATTAGCTTGTACTCTGCCCACATGCCCAGAACTAAAAAGGAAGCAGGCCAGGCCCGAGCAAAATTAGACAATGGGCTCCCAGAACACCAAGGGCGAGGGCGGCCCCAGCACCTGCTGTTCTCGCCCCTCAGGACTGAAATTGGGCATGGAGTTGGCGAGGGAGGCCTGGCAGGGAGGGAGGGGGTCGAGATGTGCGTTTGCTACAGGGCCTTCTTCCTCCACATTCCAGATGGGACTCAACGCGGGCTGCCCAGAGGAGGGGATGGGGAAGGGCCAAGCCCTGAGACTGGATTCTCTCGGGGCCACAGAGGGCGGGTGCTTACAGCTGGGGTCCAGGCACACTTCCGTTCTGTCTGGAGGACCGGACAGGGTGGTGGCTTCTCCAGATACAGTGCTGGCCGCTCAGAGCCCGTGTGTGGAAGACAGTCTGGTGCAGGGGTTGAGAATGAAGATTTTTGGAGAGAGGCGCATGGGGGTTCTTGTCCCACGTTCCTTACTGACCCACTCTGCCACCTCGGTTACTTGAGAAAAGTTAAGGTTTCTTTCTCCAAAAAGCAGAGAGAATAAAAATTTCTAACTTGTAAGGTACCCTGTGAGAATAAGAGGAAATGAAATGTGGAATCCATATAGTATCTGCTTATAGAGTTACTGAGGTCTATTTTGGGATGAAGAAAAATGTAAACCTTACAATGGTAATATTTTTATCTTTGAGGTTCACTAAAGCACCAGAAGGTATGAAGGCGGAGAGAGGAAACAGGGCAATGGAATGAACACTTCTCAGGGATCTCTCAGGTGCCACGGACTGGGCCAGGTGCCTTCCATGTGTTATCTCATTTTACAGGGCAGGTAACATTTCTGAAAGATCAGGCAGCTAAAAAGCAGACAGCTTTCTGGCACAGCAGAGAAACAAAAGAAATGCTGGCGACTGGAATGCCTGCTGTGTCAAGACACCTAATTAGAAAACAATGTCAGAGTGAATTCATCCTGCGAGTCTCCAGCTCTGCCAGAAGAATTAAAATAAATGTGTCACCAGAGGAATCACAAAGTAAAGCCTATTATTGTTCTGGGGATTCTGGGGAGTCAGAGGTCTGACAGGGGATGGGGCATGTGCTACGTCTTAGTATGGTGCTAAATGGGAGTGCTTCCAGATCCCCCCCACCCCCACCCCAGAAGCCTACTGCAGTCGAAGATCTTGATGTCAGTTGAACTTATCTATTTATAATGAGGAAACATTAAGGTAACTCAAGCCACCAAAATAAAACAGGTTGACAGTGACTAAGCAACAACAGAGTGCTAGATTTATATAGAGATTCTTTCTTTCAAGTTGCTGAGACATTTCACAAAGGAGAACTGTAGATTATCATCAACTTCCATTTGGGGACTTAGAAATCCACCATTACAAAGACAGTGTTGGCATCATTCCTTCCAGCTCTTGGCTGAAACTATTCTTTCCTATGTCACCAGTGAACTCCTACTGGCCAACGCCCAAAGAATACTTTCTCAGTTTTAGTTTAGAGAACTATTCCACACGCACAGTTAGACACTAACTGCTGGAAACTTTTCTCTAAAACACAGGCTCTTGCTGGTTTCCCTGCTACCTCTCTGGCTGCTGCTGCTCTGAGTTGGGGCTTTCATCAATCTTCCCATCAACAAATACTGATGTTTTGAAGATTCATCTGTAACTCACTTCCAATCTGAAACACTTCCTGGGAAATGTCTTATTTGCAAATTTTACAGCTAAAATCCCTCCTCCATAGAAAATCTATTAATAAACAGTACCTGCAAATGGGGGACTCTCTGGGGGAAACTTTGTCACTACAGTTGGTGTCAGCATTATATTATAATTAATCCATCTTTATCTCAGATAAAGATGTAGGTTCAGATAAATAACGGCCCCTTCCCTTTAAGCCTTGTTATAGTTGTGCTAGGCCTATTTGTGGCCATAACTGGGATTGAGTGGTTGAGATGAGATGCCAAAGAGACTATCTAACCTTCTGGGTGATTTTTTGCTGAATGAGTATATTTTAAAGCACCATTTCTGATCCCATTCAGCTTCTCTCTAGCCTCTATCAATTAATTGTTGATTAAAATTGGAAGACGGGCTATTTGGGGTCTAGAACTTTTCTTTGTTCATTGTTGTTTCCCCAGGACCTCGAAAAGTGCCTGGGATATAACTCACAAATGTGTGTGGAATGAATGAGTAGTTCTATCTATTTCATGTCTGGGTCGATGTAGGCTGTACCCATGTGTTCCTGGTAGGGGAAGTAATAGTAACAAAGACTTTGGCTAAGCTTCAGAGGCCATGGATTAATAGATTTTGGAAGAGGTCACTTTTGGATTTATCAGCTTCAAATCTTATATAAACTACTTACTGGATCCAAAAGACTCCATTCTTTATGGGAGACTCATGGTTTGGCCATTACAACAGTGAGTGAGGTAAGGTTTTGGGACATACGTAACCAGGCCTGAATTGGTTGAATATGAACTCGAAAGTTCAAATTCAGAACAACATCTTTCTTTTGTCAGCTCTTCAATCTCAGCACTTGACAACCTAAATAACAAACAGAAGAGGGGCTCTCTAAAATAAAAATGATATTTATTCAGGAGTAAGGCATTGCAATGGAAATATGTGTGCCATAGTAAACTACATGCATACTAAGAGAGGTAAAGAAAGACAAAAGTTTTTAAAGGAAAAATGAGATGGGTTACACAATTGTTTGGAGATAATTATCCTTGCTGCAAAGATCAATAGAAAGGGTGATGTCAGTACAATGTTGGACAAGCAATTTTGGGCAGATGTCTTTACAGAAGTATTTGTGTGTGTGTGCGTGTAAGATTGTGTGGCCTTTGTGCAAGGTTGTGGTTTTTGCAGTCTTTTGTGATATTTTTTTATCAGGTACACAAGCAAGCGAACCCGCTCTTCACAGCCTTCCCTAACCCTATTTGTCAAGTGTTTTTTTTTTTCTTTAATATTAGTGAAATAAGAGAGAAAGCAACAAGTCTCATACCTGATGTATTGGCCAAATAAGAAGTCCATCATGCTGCCTAATGTCACGACCAGAGATGTTCAGACTGCAAACCAGGAGAGCTGATGTTTTCATGCATTTCTGAAGACATCAAAAGACTCCACATCATGAGACTCTTACCCCTTTTAATGCTTACTCTTTCACTTGGCAAGATAAAAATGTAATTGAAATTTCATAATCGGTAGCTCCTGCTGGAAACTTGACTAAGAGATCCTTCAATATCCATTGGTTAAGTAGGAAAACAGGCCACATGGTAATAACAGCTCTCACTTAATTCTTTCTCATCATTTGATGTCTTCAATTGTTTATCTTTAAGCCTCAGTGTATGGCTCAAAACCATGACTTAAACTGGGATTTTCATACTACTATTATTTTTACTTTGTTGTTGCTGTTGTTGTTTTTGTCTGAGACAGGGTCTCACACTGTCACCCAGGCTGGAGTGTGGTGGCACCATGGGTCATGGCTCACTGAAGCCTTGATATTTTTACTTTGTATTTTCCCTTTTTAAACTTTGTATCTGCAAGTCCTGTGGCCCCAGCTCCTCCAGGGCTGAGGTGGGAGGACTGCTTGAGCCTGGGAGGCAGATGTTGCAGTGACCCCAGATCACACTACTGTACTCCAACCTGGGTGACAGAGTGAGACCCCATCTCAAAACAAAACCAAAACTTTGTACCTGTTACTTATTAAAATTTTTGCAGAAACACAACCCTAATAGGAGAATGCTAGCCCAGCACTTTGACATGGTATCAAAAGACTATGGAACAGACAAAATTGAACTTAATAATAGACTCCAGGTAGAATTAGCATGAGAACCACTTTCGTTCAATCTCCCTTATTGTTCAAATGTGGCTGAAAGGGTTCTGGCACTGACTCTTAGCCGCCATTCACTCCCCACAAGGTGGGATGAGACCAGCAACTGGGACCAAGGGTCGTCAAATCCAACTACAGGATAATCAGTGATGCTCTCAGAGAAAGATCTTGATCAAAGGTGGGAAATGTGAAAGTTGTCAGAATCAAAATGGAATCGGTAGTATTAAAAAAAAAAAAACATTTGGCAAATAGGGTTGGAAAATGCTCTGAAGAGCAGGTTTGCATGCTTGTGTGCCTGATAACAAAAACTATCACAAAAGACCCTGCAAAAATCACAACCTTGCACAAAGGCCATCACAATCTTATACACACACACACACACACAATACTTCTGTAAAGCCCTCTGAGATTCCTGCCTCAGCGGCTTGCCTTTTTGGCCCTGGAGTCTTCTCTAGGATTAATATGCCTAGATGAAAATGTTTGCGAACGCTTTTATCTTAGTTTTATTTTGGCGACACGCACCTGATTTGGCTCTTTCCCCTTGCTTGTTTCTGAAAATCTTCCGAGAGCAAAGCAAAACAAAACAAAACAAAAAAACAAAAAAGCAAAAAATCCTCAATGGTGGATGCAGGATGACTAATTGAAAGCCATTAGGGTAGCCACCACCATTTAAATTATCAGGCATATTAATCAAATAAAATATTAGGCACGCAGACCAAAAGAGAACTCGCCAGGAAAAAAAAAAAAAAAAGTCTCAGAGACAGACTGCAAATTCTGTAGAAATCAGAGCACTCAAACAGAAAGACACTTGTTTTTATACCGGAAAGGACTTACAGAAAAGACATATAGTCTTTTATCATCCCAGAAGAGATGTAAGATCCTTCATTTAAGGCAGCCTTATAACCAAACCAGATCCCAAATAATATCAAAAATGCCTGACGGAAAGAGGAAAGCTCGGCCTCAGAGAAGACTCCAGGGCCGAAAAGGCCAGCCGCTGAGGCAGGGATCTCAGAGGGCTCAAAGAGGACCGCACGCCGAAGTCAAGAACCGCTGATTCTTCTTAGAGCGAGCTTTCTTCAGGTCCCGTTTTCTGACACCATTTATGTCAACCTAAATGACAAACAGAGAAAGGCTCTCCAAAAGAAAAAGATGCTTATTCATGAGTAAGGCACTGCAAAGGGAATATGTATGCCCTAGTAAACTATGTGCATACTCAGAGAGGTAAAGCAAGACAAACATTTTAAAGGGAAAAACAAGGACGATTAATGTAATTGTTTTGAGATCTTGGCTACAAAGATCAACAACAAGGGCGACACCAATCTGAATTTGGACAGGCCATTGTTGGGCAGATTCCCTGGCACAAGTACGTTTTGTGTAGGGCTGTGACAGCCTTTGTGCAATGTTGTGCACTTTGCAGTCTTTTGTGATAGTTTTTGTCACTAAGCACACAAGCATGAGAATTCTCTCTTCATTGCCTTTCCTGGCCCCATTAGTCGGGATTTAAAAAAAAATATTAGTGACTCCATTTTGTTTCTGACAACTTTCACAGAACAAATGTGTGTAGATCACAGGTTCCTGTCTGCTTGGATTCTGGTCATGTCTTCTCATTGAGTGTAATTTAATGCCTCAAAAAAATTAATCACCAGCCGGCCTCGGTGGCTCAAGCCTGTAATCCCAGCACTTTGGGAGGCCGAGACGGGCGGATCATGAGGTCAGGAGATCGAGACCATCCTGGCTAACACGGTGAAACCCCGTCTCTACTAAAAAAAATACAAAAAAACTAGCCGGGTGAGGTGGCAGGCGCCTGTAGTCCCAGCTACTGGGGAGGCTGAGGCAGGAGAATGGCCTAAACCCGGGAGGCGGAGCTTGCAGTGAGCTGAGATCCGGCCACTGCACTCTAGCCTGGGCGACAGAGCGAGACTCCGTCTCAAAAAAAAAAAAAAAAAAAAATTAATCACCTAATGAAGACCTCTTCCCTGAAGATCTGTTTGTGGTCTACTCTGACTGGTAGGGGTCCCAGGCAATTTGCTCACCACTTTGAGCTCATCAGAAATTGTGGTAAATGTAGTCTATCTCCTTCAAATTCTTGCCTTATCAGTTTGCTGGATATGTAACTAAATGCTATGCTCATTTCCTTCTTGATAAGGGCCAACCTGAGGTTTCCAAAGCTGCTCTGCTTGAGAATTCAGTGGTCCTCAGTTACGTTCCAGGCCCGTGGTGCAATGATAGTTTCTCTTGTTTTGAGACAGAATCTCTCTCTGTTGCCCAAGCTGGAGTCCAGTGGCTCCATGCTGGCTCACTGCAACCTCCGCCTCCCAGGT